GAGCTGCTGCTGCTGGGCGCTGCGTGGCTGGCAGGCCCGGTCCGCGCGCAGAATGAGACGGAGCCCATCGTACTGGAAGGCAAGTGCCTGGTGGTGTGCGACTCCAACCCCACGTCGGACCCCACGGGCACAGCTCTGGGCATCTCCGTGCGCTCCGGCAGCGCCAAGGTGGCGTTCTCTGCCATCCGGAGCACCAACCATGAGCCGTCCGAAATGAGCAACCGCACCATGATCATCTACTTCGACCAGGTGAGCGCTCTCCTCGGGGTGCACATTGGTTCTAGGATGCGGGGTGGCGGGGAGCAGCGGCCAAAGACGGATGCCTGAGATCTGCAAGGGCTCCGCGGATTTGCGGGAACGGCAGCAGGGACTGTCTCCGGTCTCCTTCCTTCGCTCCCCCCTCCTTATAGGTGCTAGTGAACATCGGGAACAACTTTGACTCCGAACGCAGCACTTTCATTGCCCCGCGCAAAGGGATCTACAGTTTTAACTTCCACGTGGTAAAAGTCTACAACCGGCAGACCATTCAGGTCAGTTGCCGCCTTGGGCCAGGCCCTGCTCCCCTGCCGGGGACTGCAAGCCGCGGGGGTGCGCGGGCTCTGCAGAGGTGGGGGAAAGAGGTGCCAGCTGCTTCTGCCGGGGTAGCTCGGAGGGACAGATAGAGCTTCATAGTTGTGTGGTTTGCACTGCCCCTTGCTTTCCCAGTCGAAGGCTGTTGCAGCCCATCCCGATCCCGAGAGTTTTCTGCTTCCTCCTTCTGGGCCCCCTGGAAGAGGTTCTCTGCTTCCCTATGGGACCAGGGACTTTCCGTGACAGCTTCTGCTAGCCACACAGACAGCCCCTTCAGTAGGCTTCCCAGGACTGTCATCTTCACCAGTACCCTCTACCCCTTGCTGCAGCCCTGGAGCTAAGAGGAGGCTTGCACTCTTGCCTTCAGCCCCGCGGGATAGGACAGGGTCCCATTCCTCAATTCTGGCGGCCTGGAGGCATCCCTGTATGGGTGACTCCGATTTTTTTAACTAGCAGCTCAAAGCCCTGGAGGATGAATTGTGGAAAGCGAAGGAAAGACGCACAGTACCACTCCTCCTGGCTCCAGCCTTGTCCCAGCCAGCACTCTCTGCTTTCTTGGCCCCAAAGACTCCCAAGTGTCCTTTGAGCACAGACAGAAGCCGAAAGAAAGCGCGGCCAGGGACAGTGACCTGGTCCGGAGCTGGCGAGGCCACCGCAAGGGCAAACCAGACTGCAGCGGGCGCGGGCTGGACCTGGGCGGGGATGGAGCCAGTGTTTTGGAGATGCAGCCAAGCGCACCCCTGAGCGCGCTTCTAATCAGACGGAAGCCTTCCTCAGCTTTTCCAGAGGACTCCACCTTGTCCTGGCGGCGGCAGCTAGGACCGGGAGGGGCCCCGTTTTCTGGTTTGGTGTTTTGGTTTTCTGGGAGCTTCGGGAGCAGAGTTGCCTGAGTTTCTCTTTGGGGTTAGGGGAAGAGGGAGAGACGTGGAAGGTCTGGCGCTAGAGCCATCTGCGATTCATTAAACTGGATAATATACAGTTGGTTCTGTAGGCTCGCGCGCAGTTGAGAAACTGGGACGAAGGCGACTCCCATGCCGGGAGCAGACTCTTCCTCTCACCCAAATTCTTTGGCCTCTGGTCCCCACGGGACCCTCAGCAGCAACCTGTAAATACCCCCTTCCTTCCACCGACCCCTCCCTGAGGCCTATGCAGCTGTTCGCCCCCCGCGGAGGTGCTGGGCCGAACCACCGCCTGCGCCCGCCTCGGTGGCGCCTGTTCTAAATCAGGTCTTTCTCGTTCCCAGGTGAGCCTCATGTTAAACGGGTGGCCGGTGATTTCGGCCTTCGCTGGGGACCAGGATGTGACCAGGGAGGCCGCCAGCAATGGAGTCCTAATCCAAATGGAGAAAGGCGACAGAGCATACCTCAAGCTGGAGCGGGGGAACTTGATGGGGGGCTGGAAGTACTCGACCTTCTCCGGATTCCTCGTGTTTCCCCTCTGACTGGCTCCTCACGGGATGGAGGCCGGGAGAGGGCGAAGGCAGGAGGAAGGCTGGAGGGGGAGAGACAAAGAGGCTGAAATTAAGAAGGCCAGAAAGCGGCACCACTTGAAACTTCCCATGCATCCCCCAGCCTCAACGGGTTATCAGGCGCGCACAGGCGGCGGTGGGACAGCTTGGTGTGTCTCCTTGTTAGAAGTAAATTCCGCTTAGCTCTGTGCACTCCCGTTTCCAAAAATAAACTCGCCTCCCCCAATTCAGTTGCAGTAATCAAGAAAAGAGACTGCCTTGTCACTGTTTCTTACTCCCATGTTCAAGTTCCCAGTGATTTATTTAAAAGAATCTTTGTATTTAACTATATAATGTGAACTGTTTCTCCCTATCCCCCCCAACCCTTCCACTTACTGAAATCTAATTTTCCTCTCTTCTTTTTTAGTTTGGAGAGGGACTTTTTTTGTTTTGTTTTGTTTTCTGATTTTGTTTCTGAATGGGGAAAGTAGTTTTAATTTGACAAGTATAACTCTCCTTAAAACACTGCTCAAGAGTTAATTAGCTGAAGATACTTTGTATCCTCGGCTGCCTGTTAGCCGAGAGAGGACTCAGCTCACTCGTGACTGGTTTAAAATATACATGATATATATCATTTGTATACAAAGAACTCTTCCCAGTGGAAACTGGCCGTGTTTCGTATTTCTATGTTCTATTCGGAGTGATCGTGATTCTAAGGCTGCTTGGTGTTCTGATGCTTGCCAACGCCCTCGTGCTCTGTGGCCCCACTAAACGCCCAGGAGGGTCTTCCGGACACTTCCTCACCCTCTGTAACATACGTGTCAATAGCCAAGATTTAATTTTGCTTTAATCCAATAAAGTTGAAGTGGGACTTTTTATTTTTCTGCAACAGCGTTCTGAATTCCACATCTTCCCAGACTGCGAAGGTGAAGATGGGGGCCAAGGGTGCTCAGGGATAGGTCCAGAGAGGCAGGAAACATGAAAATGCCACCAGAAAGGCCCAGCGCAAAGGTTGATGTGAAGCTGGTTTGGCGCTCCCGCCTGCACCAGGCCTAAGCCGGCCCTGCTTCATCTGTGCGCTCTGCTTTGGCACAAACCTAAAAATTGTGCCTGAAACCGTGCTAGACCAGGAGTGGCCCTGTCTGGGAGCAACGTTTGAGTTTTTCGGATTCTGAATGCACCAGAATGAGCACCGTTCAAAAACCCTAAACCAGCCTTCTTGGAGTGACAGCTTCCCCGAGCCTGCTGCATCTGGATGTCCCTAACCCTCGTCCGCTCCGCAGTTACCGAAGCAGAGTACATACATTTTTATACCACCGTCTCTGAATCCGGAGTCGCAGGCCAAAAGACCCAGCGCCCTGGATCTGTGATCGCACTCATTCGCAGGACTTTTACTGGAGAGGTTCGTCCAGGAATTTTGATTGTATCAGGACATAATGTGAAAGCAAAATTGAAATAAACGACTTTGTTTTAAGTCTGGAAAGCTGACCCCGTCGCTTCGGCAGCAGCAGGAAGGTTGGGCTCTGGGGAGCAGATGGGCGGCTGAGAGCAAAGGGCAGGATCGGGCCCCGCGCGGGCTTCTCTGCTTCCGTTCCCTCCTGGGGGCTTTTTCTTTCTGAGATTCAGGGTTGAATTACTGGTTTCAGGGAGACAAAGAGAGGAAGAGGAGGGATGATAGGGCCACAATAAGCGACATTGCTGGGATTTATTTCTGCAGTTTGATGTAGAGATTTCCTGAGCGGGAGCTCGGGCCCTGGGTTGAGCTCAGGCTGTTTCTGCTCCTGCAATTCAGGAGAGCCCAGCGGCCTCAGAGGCTGGAGGTCCCACGGGGATAGATGGGGACTTCGCAGCGAGGAGAGGATCGCTGTTTCCCTTCATGCCCTACAGCTCCCCCTTCTCTCCCTTTATTCCCAAGATAAGCGTGGATGTGGAGAAATGGGCTCCTTATGGAATTGAAATGAAAAACTGTTCTTTGTTCATAAAGAGACACATTGCCATGGTCTTCCTATTGGGAAGGAGTGGCCAGGAACTCTTTGACAGTAGAACTACCTTGACCCAACAAAACCGCAGTGCAGAGCCTGCCCTCAGGGCAAGCAGAGACCTCCTCCCCGTGGACAGGGGCTTGAATCTGTCGGAGCTTCTTGTCCCCAGCAAGTCCAGAGCACCCGGGAGCTCGTAAGGCTACAGGTGTGCAGTCACCCCTGTTCCTGAGGGCGGAGCCACTAGGGTTGTGGTTCCAGCAATTGGGGGCTCACCAAGCTGTGTCCTAGCTGGGTGGCTTCTGCCAGCTCTCTCTTTCTCTCTGGGCTGCAGTTTGTTAGCCTCCATAAAGACGGGGGGGAAAATGCAAACATCTCCAGGAGTCCCTCCTGTTCTGCAGATACAGCTGTTCTCTGCTCCTGGACTGGAGGTGGGCAGGTACTTTTGCCAGAGCAAATGGGCCCTAAGCGGGAATGAGAGGGAGAAGTTCTCCTGAGGTTCTGCCCTGGCCCAGCTGGCGCCCTTCTCGGAGGAGTGGAAGGGAGGAGTGTCTGCCACGTCAGAGCCTGAACTTGGCGTTGGACACCCTTCTCAATCTGGCTGCAGCCTCTTCTTCCTCCGCCTGCTGATTCCTTCCTCTGCCATTTGACGAATGCATCTCCCATTGTCGTCTTTAGATCTCCACTCCTTTATTTCTGTTCAGAAGTTGAAGTATTTTTTCTCTCCTGCACTTTTCAAGATCCTGTCCCAGATAGGATCTGTGAAGTTCGGGGATGTGGGTGCTTCATCTTGGACATTTTCCTGTCCACACAGTATAGGCACTGGTGTCCTGAGGGTCACCACCTCTCCTTGTTCTCCAACCAGACCTTGTTTGGAAACATCTGAGGCTGGGTTTGTTCCCTACTCTGCTTTGTGTCCCATGGGAGAGTTGTGACCCAAACTGGCAAGCCCTTAGGAGTGCTCAACTGGTGTCCTTGCCTAAGGGCTCTGGGGTTTTACAATCCCCAGACTGCCTCATCCTCAGGCCTGAGTCTCCCTTTAGTTGAGTGGTGCTGTGGGCAACTCCTTTCATGGGCCTACCACCCAGCAGCAGGCGCCTCTCTCATGTCTGGGAAGAAGAAAATGGGGCTGGACTGGCGGGCCCCAGATTCCAAATGGTATGTTGGGGCTCCAGAGGGATGGAGAAGAAAGGGTTTGCAGGTCAGTAAGGACCTCCTTCCTGCCCCAACCAGAGACTTGGGGGTGAGGACCCTAAAAACCGTACCTCGTGGTGGCTTCCTAAATGCTTTGAATCTTCTATGTCCTTCGCAGATCAGGACCCTGCCTCCTGCTTTCATTTAACATAAAATATTTTAGATCAGACCCACTGGGGCAGAGCTTTCAGTGATAACAAACAGCCCACCCAGGACCACCACCTCCTTCAGCTTCACCCTCTGAAAGGCTCCTCCCCGCTTGGATCACCTTGGTTACTTTCTCCTTTCCTGCCTGCCTCCTCTGAGCAGTCACCCCTTCTCTGGCCTCCCTCTTTGGAGAGTGCTAGTGGCCTCTGAGGCAGGGTTTGGGTATCATCTGCCCAGAGTTCAGCATCCAGCTAGGCCTAGGGGATGGCGAGGGGAATTCAGGAGGCTTCTGGTACCCGGCAAGCTGGCTTCTCCACCTGGTTCTCCACACTGAGTCAAATGCCCCTTGTGCCTGGAAGGTGAGGTCCCTGTCACTTCTGCTTTCTGCCCAGCAGTGCCGGGTTGAGCTGGTCCAGAGCCCGACTGCTTCCTGGTGCCCTGAGCTGGGAGGGGGCCTTCCTCGATGCTGGTGCTTTCTGCCCAGGCAGGGCTGATGGGCGCCTAATGAGAACATAATAACCCAGATGGAGCTGGAGCCTCTGCCGGTGGCTCCTTAGTTGTTGCTTTAATGGGATGGTAGTGGTGAGGCCAGGCAGAGGTAAGGGGTGGGATTCTCCCTTGGGGCTTAGGTTGGGTCTTAGGGGCCAGTGAAAATCAGGGAAGGTGGTGTGCCCTGCATGCATGCAGCCTCTGTCTTTACATGTGACCTTACATGACCCTCTCCCCCAGTCAAAGCCTTATTTCCCTCAGCTCACAAATGCAAATGTGGGCTAGAAGATAGGTAGAGCTTCCTCCAGGTGGCCTTACTTTTCAGAACCACACTTCTGTCTCTAAGTCTAAGCCTTCCCCTCACTCAGGCACCTCCCAGCAGGAGTTTGGTCAAGTCCTGTCACTCCCAAGGCTTTCAAACAAAACAGGAAACTTTACCCATGGTGGAGGGGAGGGGGAGTCCACACCATCTCCTGGATCAGAAGCCCGAGCCTGGAGAGAAAGCTCAGACCCTTTCCCTTTTGAGCTTATTTCATGGAACAAAGACAGGCTTCCCAGGAGGACCTTGCAAAGGATTCATGATTTTGTTGCATAGAGATCCTCACTGAAGATTCCTACTTTCTCTCAGCCTCAGTTTCCTCATTTCAAATGGGGACAATAATGTCTTCATGACAAGGTAGTTGGGAAAACTATGCTAAAAGATATTTTAAAATATTCAACATTGGCCAATACAAAGTAAATGCTGAAAAAAAATGGTAATAATAATGAAGACTCTTAGATACTTGGAGGGTCGCACAGTCACAGAAGCAGACCTAGGGGGAGCACCTGGGTGGATCCCCACATTGAACACAGGGGTAAACTGAAACCAGGGAGGGGGAGGGATGCAGGGCAAGTGAATGTGAGTGGATCCCTTGTTTCTTCTTTTACCTGACACTCATTTCATCCCTGCCCCTCCATCAACCTAGAGAGTAGGAGATTTTATTTTATTATTATTATTTTTTTAATTTTATTAAGCTTATTGGTACATTTTAGGTATACAGTACAGTTACTTTCATCTTTGGGATCTTGTAGCCTTACATGACAGATCTTGGTTCTCATTTTTTCCCCATACCCCTGCCCTTCCTTCACCCGCTCCACCTCCCCTATTTACGGAGACTTTGTTTCCATTTTTTCCCTTTCTCATATTTTTTTCTTGTCCCTTCTTTCCTTTCCAAAGAGCAGGAGGTTTCATTTCCTAAATGTCTTCCATTCCCACCCCTATTGCTGTTTGTGCCTCAAGCCCTTGCATGAAGCACTATGGGTACATATTCTCTCTGCTTGTCTGCATGCTCCTCCATTAGAGCACAAGTCCTTTCTGCTTGTCTGTGTCCCTTTAGAGGTCGTTCCCTTCCAAGGCAGTAAGCATCCTCTTCATTGCGCTCGGCTCGGTGCCTCCTAAGGTGCCTGGCACAGAGAAAGTGTCCTGTGATGGTGTCATGAGCTCAGCCAAGTTGTGCCTAGCAAAGTTGTAAGACATGGACACAGCCAATGGAAACATCCTTCAAGGAACTTCTCAATCCCTGCTGCCCTACCCGTACCCACACACTGCTGACAAGAACATCGACACGGAGGTCCTCCCTGACCTGGGTAGACAGCAAAACCTTCTTAGAATCTGCACTTACTTCTACCTCTTCTTCTCTTTTTCTCTGAGCTGAGCTGTTTCCAGGAAGTCCCAGCTCTGACCCTCAGTGTCAGTGAGCAGTGACAATAAAGAAGAGGCCAAGATTGGATGTACGGGTCGATGTGCAAATTTGTTGCCAGGTCTTCTTACTGGGCAGATGATTTGCTGCACATGGATAAGGCTGCCTGTTCTTCAGCAGTAGTGAGGAAACAGCACAGCTGATGTCAAGGAGAACTTCATAGTGGTCTAGAAAGACATTCCAGTTGTGTGGTCACATCCTAAAGCCTGAGGACATCATTGCTTACCTTGCTGAGTTCTGAGGAGTTCTAAGAAGGGCCATAGGGTCAGGGACCAGCAACAGACTCCTTCTGATCCGGGCAGGTTTCAACTTGACCTCAGGGCTCTATCTGAGCTCCACCTTGTCTGCAGGGCCTCCACCTGTGCTGGCCGCCTGAACTGTGTGGGTCAGACCACATGCTGACAGCCACGCTGGTGGATGCTAAGCTCATGAGGATTGGGCCCTGGACTGTGCGTTCCCTGCAGTGTGTACCCAGGACCTGGCACAGTATCAGTGACAGGAGATGTTCTTTCCATGCTCCTTGAATAGATAAATTAATACATGAATGAGAGGATAGTTGAATGGTTGCATTGTGGGCACATCTACCTGACCCACCAAACTGTGAGTTCCACAAAGATATCTACCTTATCTCCCTTGTTTACCATTATATTCTAAGTGCCTGGTAGATTGTCTGGAAAACAGACAGTATAAAAAGTATTTTTTTTAATGAATATGGTACTTTGGGTATGGGACTCACTGGTCTGTGAGATTCTGGAGTGCAGGCTCAGCATTATGCTCCTCTGTAAATCATCATTGTCCTCTTGAAAAGCTACATTTCAGGATGGACTCATATTGTATCTATTGTCTGGGGTTGGCCCTACAGGCCAAGTTGTCTTTGCATGCTTCTTTCCCCACCCCATG